TCTCCTTGCTGTTCCTCTCTCTTTCCTTATTTCCTTATACCCCCCCCGCTCCTCTTTGATGCTCCTCCTTGTTCCCTACCCTATATGTGCTCATAGGAGCTCTTCTGATTCTCCTCCTTTTTTGCTGACGTTCCTCTGAATCCTGAACCTCTGACCTCCTGAGTTGTAGATGACATGGGTCAGTAGACAGACAAGGCCTTTCTGTCCTCAGTGTACTAAGCCGTCACTGTGTTTGGTGACCTCCTCCTACATCAGAGTGCCATTCCTCTGTGTGCCATGATACACGCATATCACAGTCTCTCTCCCACTGGCTTGGGCACTGATCTTCCCAGTGTTCCTGACAGCAAATACTGCCTAACGTGTGTTCGCTGGTTGCGATGGCTAAGCTAAAGATAATCTTTGTGGTTTAATGGTAAGCAGAGGTCAGCCGCAGGTGAAGTAACCTTCCAACTTATGGAATATCCTGTGTTACTTCTGGAATGCAGGCCGCTCCCGCTGACCATGTGACCTTGAGAAAGGCGTCATTGTGAGCCATGCACTCCGGGTGAGGGACCCAGTATGAGCATAGTGATAAGTGCACTGGGGAACTCAAGCAGGATTGTGTTGAGCTGGAGGGCTGTGATTTAGGGGTTGTGCACTTTGGAAGGCAGCAAGCCAAAGGAGGGGCTCACGTGATTGGGGCAATAATTCTACAGTCACACTTGAGATATTCTGCCAATCCAGTTGTGGATAGGTGGCACATCCTGGCCCAGAAAAGCGCGTCTGTGGGGCTGGCCCTTGGCAGCCTCCTGTCAGCTGGATTTCACATACGCCAACACGCTCGCTCCTGGCAGAGGCTGCCTCCGTGCGTCGCCGGCCCTTTAAGGGGCGGAGCCGCTCCGCAAGTCGCAAAGCTTCGTGCCGACGCTGCGTTTCAGGGGCGCAGATTTTGTCAGATGCCGTTTTGGTGTTTTTCCAATAAGCCCCGCGGAGTTTGTGTCATTCAGTTGGGCAGCTCAGCCCTATAATCTGACTCTGTTCCAGTGTGTCCCGTTTCGTGCTGAAACGTGGGGGAGGGAAATTAAAAAATTATGGCTGTACTTCTCGGCCCTTACAGCTGGTTGGGGGAAAAAAAAAAACTGGGCACTGTATTATAAGCATGTGGTGTCCATGGCAACACATACCATAGTCGTAACCCGACACCAGGCATATGTGCGTGTGGAATAATAGAAGATGTTTGGGCTGGCAGGCGGGTCTGGAGTGGCCCAGCGGTGCGGGGTTAAACACCCCTGTTTGTAAGCCAGTGGCACACTTCTGAGTTTGGGATAGCAGCCGGCTCGCTGTTCTCTTCTTACTAAGCTAGCACACGGCCGCTCGCCGTGCTCTGAACGAGGATCATGTGTGCTCAGAGCACCCGAAACTGCAAGGGGGGAAAAGTTAAACGTTTGGTTTCTAGGCAACTAATATGCTAATGAAGATATCAGTCCTCCCAGGCACCTGGTGAGATGGGCTCAGGCGTGATTAATCGCTCACAGCAAAAGTCAGACAAGACCCTCAGAACTGTGTAATTACAGTATCAGTGGGCCGGGGAGTGACAGCCCTGTGATCAGGCTTTCCTGTCTGACCTGACAGATCGGTCGGTCGGAATCCGATCCCCGTCGCTGCTGCGGGCTGCGTGTCTCAGCTGTTACGCACGGTGCTCTTAACTAGACCGCGATGCCCTGTTGTGGCTTGCAGATGTGACAGAGAGAGGCCATGTTCCCTGAAGGTAAAAGCCTGGTTTCTTGATGACCCAGACTGCTCTCCTAGTCCCAGTGTCTCTCAGCCCAGCCCTTGGGGAGCCATAGACAGTCCAAATTGTTAGCCCATCTCCATGCATACCTGAACCAACCAAGAACTCCACATAACTGGTACAGGTGTCCTGGAAGCCAGGAGGGAGACAGTGAGGACTGTCTGGGGTCCCCTAGGACTGGATTGAGAAACAGAGTTAATGCACCATAAGAAGATTTAAGATGGAGGCGCAATGGAGTCGGCGACTACAGGTGACGTGATGGAGAGTGGCTTCATGGCTGTAGGGCTTACAGCATGGAAATGCCTTGCAGTTGTGAGGGCGTTTGGGCCGTGGCTGTCCTGCAGAGCGCCTTGACCTTCCTGGCGTTTTGAGAGATTCTAGTGTTGATACCAGATGATTTCCCTTGTCCCTCTTTCTCTCTCCAGCATGTCCAGCCCTCCTCTTTGGCCAGGGAGTCCCTTCTTCAGAAAAAATGGAGAAGTCCTCCTGCCAGGTAAAGTGACACCGGCGTGACGGCGTGTGGCACAGGTAGACTGACACTGGTTTGGTAAAGGTGTGGTACAGGAGGGGTACAGAGAGGCTAGCACTGGTATGATACAGATGGCGAGATACAGGGGAGGTATAGGTAGACTGGTACAGGTAGATTGCCCCAAGTTTGGTACAGGTGTGGTACAGGTTGACTGATATAAATTTGGTACAGGTAGACTGCCATGGCTGAGTGGCACTGTCCCATGGCAGCCTGCCCTGGAACAGGCAAGTATGACCCACTGTGCATACAGCTGCTGGGTGCTGGGTTGCCAGATTCCCCTGAGGGCTCCTCGTTCCCCCAGCAGAGGCGCTGAACTGCAGCACCCGGCGAGATGGTGAGGGGATTAGAGCAGCGGCTGTATTACAGGTTCCTGGTTTAACAGATGCACATTTTCCTGCTTCTGGCAGCCACGTGTGGTTAATGTTCTGGCTGCGGTTGTGTGTAATCCTGTGAAATGCCTTTCTGTCTGCCGTACTGAGAGCCTCCAGCGACCAGCGCGCCGAGCTCTGTATACAGTACAGATCGCACTTGTTTAATTGTCACTTGATCAGTTCATCAGTATTCCAGGCTTGGGCTCTGGGTGAGTAATTTAGCAAGCAGAACTTAATATGGCTATTGTGTATGGCAGGAGGGAACAGGGGCATTCTGGGTAGTGGCTCAGGGACAAAGCATCTGTTTTAAACAGTGGAATTAGAGCTGGCGGAGGAACTCCCTTCTCTGTTGTGGAAACAAAGGAACGACACACAGGAAAATAAGTGGGAGAAGGTGGGGAAGAAGAAGCGACCTGCTTCAGGAATGTGTGGGCCCAGAAAACGTGGGACCTGGGCTGGTCAGCATGGCTGGGTTTGCGCTTAATGACAGTGGGCTTGTAGGGTGATTCCTAAAAATAACAGCAGCACATCCTGACAGCGTACTGAGGTCTGATATATACAACCACCCCTTCTTTAGTGCCCGAGTTCTGGTCCAACGACCAAGTCGTTAAGCGAAAATCGCAGTAGCCTAGGCGTGACCGCGACTGTGATTACGACTTTACTTCAGCCTTCCGTAGCCGATTTCGCTCTAGCTTACAACATTTTGCAGGAAATGTGTGCATAAATACCAATAAAAAATAATTACAAATGATTTTTTTATTACTGTAGTATTTGCGAATGGTCGCTAAGGTAGTCGCTAAACAGAGTGTGGTTGTACGTTTACCATTCAGCCAATGAGGAGTCCTCGTTAATCTGATTGGCTCTGTCTGCCGTCCATTACCCTACTCGTCTTGTATCTTGAGCCCAGGTGAGTGGTCCTGTCGCCTGTATCTACTGATTTGCCTGCCTGCCCGTCTATCTGCGTGGTGGGATAATACCATCTATCTTTAAACTCCATGTGGACTCTGCAGTGACAGACCCTTTTTCGTGATTGTCGCGAGATCTTATGGCCGGAGATGCAGAACAGACAGACGGTTCTCCAGACCAGTGTGTGTACGCCCCCTGCTGGCATGTGGCATCCCGTACTGACAGGCAGCCGGGCTGATGTAGGGTCTTTACCGTTAACTAGGCAGCTGGTTGTACATAAGCTCACAGGGGTCTCTGGGATGATTGCAGCTTCTGTGAAAATGATGGTGTGTAATGTGAGTTCTTTAGACCTCCTTGAAGGTTGTTAACCGGGTAATGTGACCTGTCCTGTTCAAGCTCAGTTCATATAAATGTTTTACCCAAACATCAGAAGCTTCCCATCTCTATTAAAGGGACATTTCCTTAACGTTTTGCTAACATTTCTTTGCTGTCGTTGTCTGATGCACTGTATGGTGTTGTAGCACAGTGTCTCTGTATGACTTTTGTGAGTTCTGTCTACTGGAGCAGAGTCACGTTCCTGTACAGAATCTGGGGATGTGAAATCATATGGAAATGACGGTAATGTGTGTGTGTGTGTTATTGGGGCGTCTGGTTGCTGAGAAACGGGACGTTTCTGGCAGATCCGGCACCCCAGCCCTGCTCTCCTCGCTGCTTTTTCTGTAACTGTGGGAGAACTCTGCGAATCCACCAGTCTGTTGCTCTGCAGCCTTGTACACGTGCTTATGCTGATTCGATTACCTCTCATTAGACTGATTTCTTTGGCCCTGGTTGCAGAGGGGGGCAGCTTTAGGGCCCAGGCCAGGCGGGGGGCATGGGCTAACAGGCTAACGAGCGCTGCTTGATTTCGCTATACCCATGGATGGTTGCTGATGAGGACGTTCAGCATGGAGTCACGGAGCCTGTGCTGTTTCCAGGACTCTGTTGGGAGGCTCTGCTGTCTTTCTGGCCTGCCTGCAACTGTGCCCTCTCTCATAAGCACAGGCAGCAGTGCATGCTGGTCCGTGCACGTGTTGCTGTAGATCTCCCCCTGCCTGGTCTATGAGCACTTACCCACGCTGGTATCCTGAGTGTACTATCACTAATTCCACGACAGCCATATCGATCCCTCGTGGACACACGACACCTCCCTTCGGGCTAAGGGAGGGGCTCATCCTGCCCCCACCCCCCCACCAGTAACGTGATGTGATCTAGCTTCCTCTGATCTCCAGAGACACCATGGCCTGGAGGAGATGAGGAATCTCTTGGTCCCATTTGTGTTCAGAGTTACAGACCCCAGAGTGCTGGTTTCCTAATAACATTCACACACCTGCACATTTATCCTCTGACTGTGTATGTGTGCGTGTGTGTGTGTGAGAACTTCAGATCAGTGTGTTTTTTTTTTTTTATAATAACCTTAATTCTGTGCGTGAACAATAACTTAGGTCATTCTTTGTATATATGTGATAACAGTAGGATATTGTACTCTTGTGTATTATGTGTGTGTGATGAAAGGTCATTTGTTGTGTGTGTGATGACAGATCATCGTGTGTGTGTGTGTGTTTGGAGGATGAAAGGTCATTCTGTGTGGATGTATAACTTTAGGTCATTCTGTGCATGCATGCACAATAACCATGTATGAGGGCATATTGTACGTGTGTGATGAAAGGTCATTCTGTGTGTGTGTATAACATTTGGTCATTGTGTGTGTGTGTGTGTGTGTGTATGATAACATTTGGTCATTGTGTGTGCGTGCCTGACAACTTCAGGCCATACTGTGTGTGTGTGTGTGTGTGTGATGGCATCAGGTCGTTTGCTGTATAATAACTGGGGCCACACGTCCTCTCTCTTTTGCACAGTGTGCGTCTAACGGAGTTATATTTAGGCTGCTCTGTGTGATTAATGTTTATTCATTATCACATACTTCTCGTGATGGAGGCTTCCCAATGTAATTGGATAATTAATATCAGTGAAACACAAAGTCACTGTGCTCAACTGTATTTGTTGAAGGTCACATGTCCCTGGCAGGGGAGATGGGGGAGGAGGGCGTGGTTTTGGGGATGTCACCCTGGTGTGGCCTGGACCCCTCCTTTAGTGTGGTGCCCTGTAACTGCTCGAGTAGGTGGACGTCTGTCAGGGCGTGCAGCTCCTTTCTGACCTCTGCTCTGCAATGAGGGCCACGTGGCTCCACAGTGACTCAGCTTCGGGACACGTGCTGCCTCTGGATCCTGGGTGCCTGATCTTGGCCCGGGGGCCTCCGAAACAATAACATTTTCCAATTCGGTTTGATTTGTATAGCACATCTTCACAATATTACACTTTCGCAAGCATTTTACATTATCCCTGCCAAAAGTCCCCAGAGAATAAGTGAGATAACTTTCTTCCGGAACCAGAACCTTTTTCCAGAACCAGGGACTTTTGCTGTGTTCACACTGCAGGAACTTGGCCTGATTGTAGTTCCTCAGAGGCAGTTCCAGAGCCCTTTTTTCATACCTACTCTAGACTGGGTTCAAACATAAACTATTGGAGAGTTTATAGAGAGGTGTTTACAGCGATAGCTTGCTGACTGGTTGACCACAAGCATTGATGCTAACTTGGAAGTTGCGTGAAATTGCGGGGATAAGAGATGTATCAGAGCAAAAACTGAGCAGATGGAATTATTTTTTGTATCCCAATTACATTTAATGCATCAATTATCAATGCAATGCAATGCACTTATGCTTGCGTCTCTATATTTCTGCTTGGGAAAATTCGATCGCTGACCAGTATACTTTTGTCTAATGTCGCTGGTGCCGGCAGTGAAACTTGCCAGCACTTGTTAGCGGGATAATGTTACACCGTTTTTTATTCTGTGGAAAACGAAAGATCGATCTGCTGGCTAGATTTAATAAGAATCATGAACATGTCTCGGGTCATATAAGTGAAATATTAATAAAAGGTTGTGTCCTGTTTTGATCGCCATCGATCCTCCCCAGTAACAAGTAACTAACAAAATTTAGTTATTTGTGTTTATCCTCCATTGTTTAGGCAAGGCGGTGTAGACGTGTGAAGTTTGTAGGTTAAACTTTTTGCATCTCCCTTGTTTATTTAGCATAAGAACATAAGAAATTTACAAACGAGACGAGGCCATTCGGCCCGTCAAGCTCGTTTGGAGCATAAAGTTCCTGGTTCCTGTTGTGCGTGTAAAAGCGACACACAGAAGTGGCCGGGAGTTCCAGGTGGAGACGGCCCAGGACTAGGTTCTGGAACTTTGGTGTGAAAGTGCCCATTGGCTAGAACAACCTGCTAAAAGGGAGGAACCTTGGGAGGAACCAGATTCAGATGGGGAGCCCGTCCTTCTGGGCTGGCAGAGGAAGTCAGATTACGTCCTGATTTATATGCTCCAAACTGTTATAGTGTGAGTGTAAATGCGGAAGGTCCGGTGGAGTTATGGATGCTGGTGTCAGGGCAGGCAGGTGATGGTGCTGCTTCCAACAGTAGGATGAGTAGGATGGTCCAGGCAGGAGAGGTGTCACAGGAAGAAGGTCCAGGCAGGAGAGGTGTCACAGGAAGAAGGTCCAGGCAGGAGAGGTGTCACAGGAAGAAGGGCTTCGCGGGAACCACGCTCCAGCAGGGGTGGGGAGATCAGAAGGTACATTAGCCAAAGTACAGATTCCCATGCATGCCACCATTACCCAGCACATGTAGAGAAGTACCATGGAAGCATGCAGAAGGACCGAACCTCCCCCCCCCCCCATGGAGGGAACCTCTACGTCCCTTTGGCTTGTGAGACCTGGTATGTCGAGATGTCGGTGAAACCAGCACCCCTTCTCCGCTCTCCTGGTGACCTGTGCTGTGACCACTGTCATGATCCCATCATGCCCCACTGCTGCATGTCACACGCCAGCAAAGCGCATGGCACGTGAAAGGTTGTCATGGTGATGACTCGCAGATAGAGGGGGTGGTGGGGAGGCTGAGATCAGCCGATTTAATATCCCGGTGCATCCTCAGTTGCATTTAAAGGGTGTGTCATGTGTAGAGCAGAGAACAGAAGCTTGCGATGCTGACCCCTTCAAGTGCCCACCCACTTCCGGGCCTGGCCTTGTCCTCCCTGCATGCTGACCCAGTGCTTCAGCAGCAGTCACCCCTTCCTCGAGCCATAGGGCCCGTGGCTTCGGTCCGCCGCCAGTCCTAAATTGATGTCCGGTTAGAATAAAACATCACCTGTGGACTTGGAACTGAAGCAGTCCATAAATTATTCATAATTGCAAAAGGGAGGAATTTCTGTCCAGCCACATCCAGCATCTCGAAGATGCCCCCCCCCCCCCCC